CCCCCGGCCTGCGCAGGCAGGCGCCCCCGCCGCCTCGGCCCCCAACTCTTTGCACCCTCCTTGTGTCCAATGCACTTCCAGGCTGTTGCTGACGGGGTTTGAGATCTTCGGCGAGCACAAAATCTTAGCCATCGCCGCCGCCCTTCCAAACCTCGAGGCCCTCATCGCGCCCTGCGGCTGCCTCGACGTCCGCGCCACGCCTCGCGTTGCCGCCGCCGCCGCCGCCGCCGCAGCGCCCGACGCGGCCCCACCGCCGGCGCTGCCGCGACTGCGCCGGCTGTGCGTTGCGCAGGCGTCGCCAGCGCTCGCGCGGCTCGCGCCGCGGCTGCGCGTGGTCGATCTCAGATCGTCGGACGTCGGGCTCAGCCACCTCGCGCAGTGCGAGCCGCACTGCTCCGTGGAAGAACTCTGCATAGGGCCCCCTGCAATCCCCTGCACGTCAGGCTACCTCGCCCGCCGCGCCAGGGGCCGTCCCGGCGGCGACGCAGCCTTCACGTCTGGCGCGCCCGCGCCGCTGCTGGCCTTCGCGCATCTGCCGGGCCCCGGCTCGTTCCCCACGCTCTCGCGCCTGCGCCTCCGCGGGGGCGGCGCCCTCGCGCTGCAACTGCTGTCAGAGCTCGGGCCGTTCGCCGGCCCGCGGCTGCGCGGCCTGTCCGTCGAGTGGGCGGCCGCCGACGGCCCCGCGCCGCTCGCGCGCGCGCTGCGGGCGCTGCTGCCGCTGGCGGGCGCGCTGGAGGCGCTGCGGGTCGAGGTGTTTGCCGCCGGCGCGCCGCCGCTGGCCCCGGCGCGCGCATGGGACGATGCGGCGCTCGCGGCGCTGGCGTTCGAGCTGCTGGGCGTGCGTCCGCGCTCGCTGCGGCGCGTGGACGTCGTGCTGCCGCCGGGCGCGGTGTGGGACCCTGCGCTGGGGGGCGCCTGCTTGGACGGCGCCTCATGGGCGGGGTGCGTGCGCCTGATGGGCCACCTGCCGTGGCTGCACATATCGGAGGGCAGGGGCGGCGCTGGGGGATTAAAAGCATGGGACTGGACGGATGACTTTGAAGGCGCTGAGGCTTGCTGAAGCCGGCTCTCTGGTGGGGTCTTAGTGCAGACTTTGCACGGTGTCCGCGGTCTGGGCTGCAGCCATGCGGGCGTAGCTGCTGGTGCAGTTGCAATGTCAATGTGACCTATCAAACGGCTCTTGAGGGCGTGCGCTTTACGCTGGTTGCCTCGTTTTCCGACCTTGATATGCAGGCCACCTGCTTGCATGCGCAGGGACAGGCGGTTCAGCCGCTTGGTCGGGGCGATTGGGCTGGTCGCCTACATGCATTGAACGCTGCGCACGCGCCCTGCCCGCTGGCGCCTCCTGCGTGGTCCGATCAAGCACTGTTTTTCGATTGACAATCTCCTTTGGATTGAGAGTAATGCAGCGAGCATCAGGTGTGTGCGTTGTCCCCGTGCTTTTCGTGCCCCCTGCCAGCGCTGGAGGCGCGCAGCGCCGTGCCTTTGGGTCCAGGAGGCTGCGCAGCAGTGCAAGCAGCCTGGTGGGCTCGACAGGCTGTGCGAGCATTTAAGCCTCCTGGAGATGTTCAGTTCGGCGCCCGGCGTTCACACTGGCGGCGGCAGGTGGCGTACACAGTGCCCGGGCCTGCCGTCTGAGGCAAGTCTGCAGGTGCTGCCAGCGAAACGGCTGGATCAGCTTAGGCCCCGCCATCGGCATTTGGCACCTCACGGAGGCTGCTGCCGTCCTGGAGACAACCGGCTACGGCCGCGGTCACAAGCGGGACGTCCGCCCCGGACTGCAGGAAGGCAGCAGAGGGGCGGCGGAGAACTTCACAGCAGGGGCGGTCCTCAAGCGAAGCGGGGCTGCCCGAGCCCGGCCCGGTTGAGGTGCCGCTGGTGCCTACGGCGTAGAGCGCTGTCGTCAAAAGTCGCGTCAACCATGAACGGCGCAGTGCCCTGTACTGCCTGGGCAGACTGGGCACGTAGGCCCCCATGTATGACCACACCTATGATGTCGACCTGTTGCAGGCGACGCCGATGCCAGCAAGCCCCCCGTGCGCCTGGCGGCGAAACAAGCCATGGTGGCGCAAAGTACTGCAGCAAAGATCCGCTTGAACGCTGGGCCACCAAGGCGGCGCCGGCAGTGTCTGCACCCAGCGCTTGCGCCCTTGCCTTGCGGGCGGCCCTCTTGAGCCTCTTATAAGCGGCAGGCTGGACTGTCTTGGAACTTGCTGTGGACACATATCAAAGCTGTGTAGGTATGAAGGCCTATCAATTTCCTTGATGTCAACACGTCCAACACGCCATCCAAACAGCACATAGGATCTGGGCCGATCTTTGACTCATCAGTCTGGACGACAGCGCGAGGCCATGTGCTGTTGTTGGATGATATGATACCGGTGCGGCATGCAACAAAGGCAGGGTGACATATCATTATCATTACTCGATGTAACACATTGATTCTGATTCGTGCCGAGCCCAGCCTACGTTGGCGAGCTGAAAAGTCATCTGTGCTCCTGCCCTACCAGTGTACCACGTTTGTCAGTGACTCGGCGCGCGTGCGGCGCGACGAATACATTCGCACACGTACGTGATGCGCGCCTAGATCAGCGCAACGTGTTGTTGCCCGGTCCAAAATCATGCAGGGAATCGGCACTCTGCTCTCTCCTTACGTTTGGCAGCTTACAGGTGCGGTGCAGCAGGATGTAGGTGCTGCTGGTGCGATCCCAAAGCTGGGTTTCAGGCGGTTTCACACACTACATGTGCCGCAGGTGCAGCGCGGCAGTCAACAGCACGCGTGCTGCTCCCCGTGTGCGCACGTTGCACGGGCTTGTTGGACGCGTGCTGGCGGCCAACAGATCAAGTTGTTGCAGTGGGATGGTCCAGCGCTGGCTCGCAGAGACGCTGGCAGAGCGCGGCGGGCCCACATGCAGGCTCACCCAATAGCAGCAGCGGCGGTGCCGACGACGGCAATGACGAGGCTTCCACACGCTCGCGGAGAGCCTCAAATGTGAGCAACAGGCTGCCTGGGGGTTTTAGGAAGGAAGGGGGAGGAAGCAAGCCTTGATGTGCTGTCAGCAGCTGACAGCCCTACATCCACCAAGAACCACGTAAGGAAGAGCAAGACCGCTGGAAGCCCCCGCCCCGACCCCGCAGGACGGCCGCAAGACCCGCGGGCGCACCACTGAGAGCCGAGCCGCTGTGGAGGACGTCGCTATCATGACTGACAAACAGCTGATGCGACGCAACAAGGTAAGAGTGGCAGGCAGCCATGTGGGGTGCTGCACGTCATGGGACCGCGAGTCATGTGTGTGCTCTTCGGTGGTCGCGGCATTGTGCGTGGCATGTGCCTGCGCCACAGCGCGCCGTTCGCGTGTGCATGTGCCTGGGCCGTATCACGGCTCAGCATTGCAGCTTGTGCCGCCAGGGCAGCTTTGGGTCGACCGCCGATCCTTGTCAGCGACTTGATCCATTCTGCGATCATACAAGTACTGTATTCCACACCCTGCTTGGCCACAGCCCTGGCTCCAAGAGCAGTGCTGGCAGAGGGGTCTGCCGTTCGACGGCACAAAAGAGGCCCTCATGACGCGCCTCATCGGCTGGCAGTCGACGCCCGACGGCCTCACCGCCGCTGACGCGGCGCAGACAGCTGCTAGGGAGGCGGTCGAGGCTGCAAATGCTGCGCGTGCCGTGGCGGCGGCAGCGCTCGGCATCACGTGGGATTGGGTGCCACAGCAGCAGCAGCAGCAGCAGCAACAGCCACAGCAGCAGCAGCAGCAGGAGCAGCAGCAGCAGGAGCAGCAGCAGCTGGGGGAGCAAGCGCGGCCAGCGCAGCCCCCAGCGCAGCAACAGCAACCAGCCGCAGCAGTGCTGCGGCCAGATCATGCAGGTTTTGCTGACACAGCGGGAGCGGTACCAGAGCGGCCGAAGCAGCATCACCATCAACAAACGGAGCAGGAGCAGGAGCCACAGCCATCCACTTTGTCGGCTGCGCTCGTCCTGCAGTCAGCGATGCAGCGCCTCCGCGACCGCCCCTCGGACGCCGCCGCGGCCGCCGCCGCCCGCAACGCGCTTGAGGCGCGCGCGCGCCAGCTCAGCCCTGGCCTCGACGAGTCAGAGGTGTCGGAGCTCGCCGGGCAGCTGGGTGGCAGCTGCTCCCCGCCTGGCCTGGCCGCGCTCGCCCGCGCTACCTATGGGCGCGAGCTGCAGGACCCGCGCGTCTGCGCCGCCGTCGCGGCCGCGCTCGCGGCCGCCGCGCGCCAGCTGGGGCCGCACGAGCTGCACTCCGCGCTGCGGCTGATGGCCGCGCACGACGCGGCGGGCGCCGTGCGCGCCGGGCTGCACGCGCTTGCGGAGGCCGTCATTCGGGAGTCGGCGGGGCTCAGCGCGATGCAGCTGTCGGAGGTCGTGGCGCTGCTGGGGTCGGTGGGGTATGACGACGCGTGGGGGCTGTACCTGATCACCAAGGAGGCCGGGCGGCGGCTTCAGGTGCGCAGGGCGCGGGGCGCGCCGCCGGGGGTGGGGCGGTCCTCGTTTGTGTGATGGTACACTGGGGCTCTCCTCCCTCCGCCTCGGTTTCCAAGCCAGCGCAGTTGCGCTGTCAACCACTGAGCTTGTGTCTGCCGGTCTTCTGCGATACGATGCAATTCGCCCCTCTTGCTCCCGCAGGAGTTTGGGCCTGCAGACATGGCGCGGCTCGTCGCTGCCGTCGCTGAGATGCACGTGGGTGACTCAGATCTTGGGGAGAGCGTCGCGGCGGCCGTCGCGGCGCGGCGAGGGGAGTATTCAGCCGAGGATCTCGCAACGATTGGCAGCGCCCTGGCCATGATGGGTTGCAGCCTGCAGGTGTAGCCGGGGGTGATTGCTGGGTGGCGGCTGCGGACGGCGACTGTACCGGGGTGACCGGCCGCGGTTAAGCGCCCAGGCATCCGCACAAGGACATGTGCGGTTGTGTTGTTGCTTTTTGAAGGCAGTGACCCTTGTTGCCTTGCGATCCTGCACCGACCACGGCTGCAAGCTCGGGCAGGAAGATGTGGGGTTTCGGGGTCAATCCCCATGGGGGATGCCTCCTAGAATGATACTTAACTTGTTGAGACATCAACATCAAAGGTGCCGAAGCAGCGGTGCATCTCAACGCTGCATCCCGATCCTGCACATTCAAATGCCCAGTGCAATGTCCCATTTCCGGCCTCACCCCTGGGTGCGCACGTGTCAACCTATGTTGACCACGACCCCTTTTTCAAGTCGCTGCTTACAAGGAAGTTTGTTGGATGATAGCTTGTAACGGCTGGCTTACACAAGGTTGTCCCCCCCCCCATCTGCCTGCCCACCGTGGGCCAAGATCTACACGGCTGCCTGGGCCTCATGGCCGCCTGACGAACAATGATGCCGCCGCAGTTGGTCAGCAGAACGCTGCTAGTGCGTTGCAGCGCTTGCCCTTGCAAGCTGATGCAGGACACCATATACGAACACTCAATAGCGCGCTTTGAACAGCAGTAGTTTCGTGATCTGAGTCTTCCTCCGGCTTTCAAGGCCGAGACTCGTAGTCTAACTCGTTTGTGGTACCTGATCCAATAATAGCGCCTTGTTGCCCGTTACTTGGGCACATCCTCGCGTCACTGGTGCGCCGACGCAAGCAATCATAGTACAGATATGCACTTGCAGACAAGCATGTCAGCACTTTCCCACGTGCGAAACTCAGCAGCAGGGGCGGCCGTGCTGCGGCAGCCACGGCTGCCGCTCCGGCCGCGCGTGCTGCTGACGCCCCAAGCATTGGCACTTGGCCCCTGCTCGTGCGACGTGCGATCGGCTGCGCTGAGCTGCCGGCAGCCGTTACTGCCCGCTGAAGTGGACGCGCGGGCGGCTGGCAGCATCTTTGGCAGCAACAGCAGCAGCAAGCGGCGCACCTTGGTCATCCGGGAGAGCGGTGCAGCTGGGGGCCTCGGCAGCCATGGAGGCGCGAGCGGCGATCCGGTGAGCCAGCGATAGCGCACGCGCGCGCGCACACACACACACACACGCACGCACGCACGCACACACACACACACACAGTGCTGTGCAGATGCTTGCTTGTTGATAAGCTCATGCACGTGCGTCCCCACAAGTTGCTGATGCCTGCCTACGCACGCTCGGCGGGAAATTGGTCTTTCGCGTCGGCTCAGTGTTGCATAACCGCATTTTGGGTGTGCCCCATTCCCTCAGGTGGACACCTGGCCCAAGCGGTTGCTGCTTGGTGTTGCGCTGGCGTATATCTCACTGGTGGTGCTGGTGCCTTTCTTGAACGTCTTCTTCCAGGTGTGTCGCTGATACCATGATGAATTATCTTGCTCACTGGCATGTACTCGGGCATGACTCGTGCGCAGCACACGCGTTCGCACACGCGCACGCATACGTGCACGCACACGTGCACAGCGCAGCGTTTGAAGGCATCACCTGGCCGTGCAACGACCCCTACGCAGAGTCACACTCGCCCCCCAGCGCGTCATTCACCCCGCACCGCCACGCGCCCATCATCCCCCACCCCCTCCCATCC